TTTCCTTTCCTTTCCTTTCCTTTCCTTTCCTTTCCTTTTCCTTTCCTTTCCTTTCCTTTTCCTTTCCTTTCCTTTTTTTAAGGTAGACCAACAGCTCTTTACATGGGCTTTGGAGGGGGTCTGGGGGCAGCACCAGCAGGTCTGAAGCGGGGTGGGGGTGTCCGATCCTTTCGTGCCTCACGGGACCGATTCCTCACTACCTTGCTGCTGATCGCGCACCTCACACAGTAATGCAGCTTCACGTACAGTTTGGGCAGCACATAGGAGTCGAAGACTCTGGCCTCGGAGATGTCCCTGACGGCCACGGCTTCCACGATGTTGCAGATGACGAATTTCTTGATTGCCTTGTACTTGGGCACGCAGCGGGCGCTGTTGGTGCAGCGGATGGGCTGCACATGGTAACAGATGTTGGCCCATAGACTGTAATTATTTTAATTTTAATTTTTGGTACATGCTTATCCCAAGCAAGAGTCCGACAAGTAATGTTTCCCATTGACCTTGAATGCACAATTAAACCAACTCTTCCAGCTCCTTTATTTACCTTTACAAGGAGGAAATGTGAGCCACCCCTCCATTTAGTTGCAACCTTTTTTTCCCTTCTAGTTTCATTTAGAAAGAATGTAAAAATTCATACAATTCAGTTCCTCTAGGAGTATGTCAAATCTTCTTCAAAGATCTTACACTATTGAGAAACAAAACTGAAGTGAATGCTTGTTAACAGTCTGAAATTTGTGTGATTCTTAGCACCCATCTCTGCAGAAGTAGAAGGGGGCTGTGAAGGTTTGAGAGATATTTTGTGCTGTCATTATTTAAACTGATATTCAACAAGCAAAAGTCATCTGTTGCCAGAACTATCCTTGAAGCTTTTCCAGCATGGTGAAATGAGCCAGAGAAAGCTTTGCAGGTATAGCCTTTGGAACTCAGAGTTAACATGGTAAGGCATTGGACATTTAAAAAAAATGACAACTAACCTTGCCAATTTAGTGGATGTAAAGTGGTAGCTCAGAACTGTTTTAATTTATGTTTTCTATCAGATAATTATGATTTGGCATTATTCAGAATTCTCCGTGTTTCACTTGTTCAAGTGACTACGTTCTTTTTCAGGTGGCATAATCGTAATTTATATCTTTATTTTGGGTTATTGTGTCTCAATTCTTTGTCCCCTGGAGTAATATGGAAATTTGGCATTGTTAAGTTTGAATCAGCAGTTCATAATCTGTTGACCTGCTTACCCTGAAGACCTGTGAGTAAACTGGTAACATGAGAGTTTGCTCAGTCTTGGTGTAGAGGTCAGAGCACCTTGGCCTTCAGTCTAAAATCTATCCCTTTGCTTTCTTTCACTCTTCCCCTTAATCTTACTCCTCAATTAAAGGAGTCTTTTGGATTGTGGACTGAACCTACATCACATCTCCCTTTTAATATTTGTGGGCTCTTCCCTTGATTTATGGTGCTCACAAGCTGATAAATTCTATCACTGCTCTCATAGAGAAATGAGAGCTATAGTGATCTGCTTTAGCCCAGCCCCATCAATAAACAAGTGTAAGAAGGGTTTGATAAGGGTAGTTTCCCAATCAACTTGAAGAGCTGACAGGGCAGTGAGCCTTTGTTTGTTTGGAAAAATCCTGGGATGCCTCCTAGGGACTGGATTTCAGTGATTGGGGCCATCCCCAAGATGGTTTGTTTGACTAGGAATCAGTATGATGGACTCATTGATGGACCCACTTCTTGATGCTGGGTATTGAGAAAGAGCAGTTCTCAATTTTTTTTTTTTGGTCTCAGAGCTCTTTTTGTTATTGTTCGGTCACTCAGTTGTGTCCAACTCTTTGTGATGCTATGGACCGTTGCACTCCAGGCCTTTCTATCCTCCACTCTCTCTCTCTCTCTTTTTTTTTAGGCAAGGCAATCGGGGGTTAAGTGACTTGCCCAGGGTCACACACCTAGTGAGTATCACGTGTCTGAGGCTGGATTTGACCTCAAGTCCTCCTGATTCCAGGGCAGGTACTCTATTCACTGCACCACCTAGCTGCCCCTATCCTCCACTATCTCTTAAAGTCCGTCCAAGTTCATGTTCATTGTTTCCATGCAGGACTCCTTTACACTCTTAAAATTAAAAATATTTTATTTATTTTTTTCTTTAAATAGTATTGTATTTTTTCCCACAATTGCATATCAAGAAAATTTTTAGCACTCATTTTTTATGAGATTTTGAGTTCCAAATGTTTCTCCCTCTTGCCCTCCCCTCCCCTCTTCTGAAAATGTTAGGAAGTTTGATATAGTTTATATATATGCTATCATATAAAATATATTTCCATGTACATCACAGGTGTGGAAGAAGAAATAGATGAAAAGAAAAAAACATGAGAAAGAGTAAAGTAAGTGAAAAAATACGCTTTGACCTGTATTCAGAGTCAATCAGTCCTTTATCTGGATATGGATAACATTTTCCTTCATGAGTCCTTTGAATTTGTCTTAGATTGTTGTGTTGCTGAGAAAGGCTGAGTCATTCATAGTTGATCATCACATGATGTTGCTGAAACTGTGTACAGTGTGTTCTTGGTTCTGCTCATTTCACTTTGCATTGGTTTGTACAAGTCTTTCCAGGTTTTTTTCTGAAATGTGCCTGTTCATCATTTCTTATTGCACAATAGTATTCCATTACATTCATTTGCCACAGCTTGTTCAGCCATTCCCCAATTGATGGGCATCCTGTCGGTTTCCAATATTTTGCCAGCACAAATAGGGCTGCTATAAATATTTTTGCACATGTAGGTTCTTTTCCCATTTTTTATGGTCTCTTTGGGATACAGATTGCAGGATCAAAGGGTATACACAGTTTGATTGCCTTTTGGGCATAGTTCCAAATTGCTTTCCAAAACGGATCAGTTCTCAACTCCACCAACAATGCATTAGTGTTTTAATTTTCCCACATCCTCTCAAACATTTATCATTTTTTTGGTCATATTAGCCAATCTGATTGGTATGAGGTGATACTTCAGGTTTTTTTTTTTTGTTTGTTTGTTTTTGGCAATTAGGGTTAAGTGACTTACCCAGAATCACATAGCCAGTAAGTGTCAAGTGTTTGGTCTGACGCCAGATTTGAACTCAGGTCCTCCTGAATCCAGGGCCAGTGCTCTATCCACTGTGCCACCTAGCTGCCCCTAGAGTTGTTTTAATTTCCATTTCTCTAATCAAAAGTGCTTTAGAGCACTTCTTCATATGCCCAAAGATATTTTTGATTTCTTCATCTGAAAACTTCCTACTCATAATCTTTGACAATTTATCAATTGAGGAATGGCTTGTATTCTCATAAATTTGACTCAGTTCTCTATATATTTGAGAAATGCGGCCTTTATCAGAGACACTTGCCGTAAAGATTGTTTTCCAGCTTTCTACTTTCCTTCTAATCTTAGTTGCATTGGTTTTGTTTGTACAAATACTTTTCAATTTAATATGATCAAAATGATCTAATTTACATTTGTAATGCTCTCTATCTCTTGTTTGGTTATGAATTCTTCCCCTCCCCATAGGTCTGACAGGTAGACTATTCTTTGCTCTTCTAATATGATTGTTTCATTGACTATGGTACCTTTTAGAAAGATGTAGTTTCCTTCCTTATTTCTTTTAATTAGGTCTATTTTTGCTTTTATTTTGTCTAAGATCAGGATTGTTACCCCTACTTTTTTTTTAACTTCAGCTGAAGCACAATAGATAATGCTCCAGCTCCTTACCTTTACTCTGTGTGTGTACTTCTGCTTGAAGTATGTTTCTTGTAAGGAATATATTGTAGGATTCTGGTTTTTGATCCACTCTGCTATCCACTTTTGTATTATGGTAGAGTTCTTTCCATTCACATTCCCAGTTATGATTACTACCTGTGTATTTCCCTCCATCTTATTCTTCCTCCTGTTTGTCCTCTCTCTCCTTTCACCCTCTCCCACCTCACCAGTGTTTTGCTTCTGTTTATCACCTCCTCTATGCCCTCCCTTCTGTGAATCCCCTCCCTCTTTACTTAATCACCTCCCCTCCTACTTTGCTGTTGGGTGAAATAGATTTCTATATTCATCTGATTCTGTATATTATTCCCTCCTTGAGCCAATAATGATGAGAGTAAGGTTCCAGTAATGCTCATTGCCTCACCCCTCTCCTCTTCTCCTTCACTGTAACAGGTCTTTCTCACCTATTCATGTGAGATAATACCCCATTCTACCTCTCCTTTTCTTCTGCACCCATTGTACTCCTCTTTCTCATCCCTTAATTTTTTTGACTTTTAAAAATTGTATTTATTATTTTTCAATGAACAAAAATATTTTTCCTCTCCCATCCATACCCATTGTGAGGGGCAGGCCTCATAACAAATACACATAGTAAAACAAAACTAATCCTCATATTAGCCATGTCAAAAATATGTCTCAGTCTGCATTCTGAATCCATCACTTCTCAGTAAGAAAGTAGGCAACGTGTTTCACCATGGGTCCTCTGGAATCATCTTTGGTTATTCTATTGATCAGGGATGCAAATTCTTCTTTTTTTTTTAACATTTATTTATTTTTATTTTGGGTTCCAAATGCTTTTTCTCTAGACCCTCCTCTACCTAAGGAGAAAGTAAGCAGTATTAAACTCATTACATATGTGAAGTCACGCAAATCACATTTCCATGTTAGCATGTTAAAAAAGAAAAAAAATGAAGAAAGTGGGGAAAATGTTTCAATATGCTGAGTTCATCAGTCCTCTTTCTGGAGGTGGATAGCATTTTTCATCATGAATCTTTCAGAATTGTCATGGATCACTGTATTGATGATAGTAGATAAGTTTTTTCACAGTTGATTAGCATTAGAATATTGCTGAAAAGAGTTAAGTCATTCATAGTTGATCATCACACAATGTTGCTGTTACTGTGCACAGTTATCCTGGTTCTGATCATTTCACTCAGCATCAATTCATGTAAGTCCTTCCAGGTTTTTCTGAAATCCAGCTGCTCATCATTTCTTATAGCATAATAGTATTCCATTACATTCATATACCACAACTTGTTCAGTCATTCCCTAATTGATGGACTTCCCCTCAATTTCCAATTCTTGTCCACCACAAAAAGAGCTGCTATAAATATTTTTATACAGGTGGGTTTTTTCCCCATTTTTATGATCTCTTTGGGATACAGCCCTAGAAGTGCTATTGCTGGGTCAAAGGGTATGCACATTTTTGTAGCCCTTTGGGCATAGTTCCAAATTGGTCTCCAGAATGGTTGATCAGTTTATCAAACAGTAGATATCTAGCTAGATATCTAGATCTAGCTTATCCCCATTACATATAATGCTTGCTGATGGCCCTTAATTTTTTTTAATGCTATTCCCTCAAATTCATTTTATATCCATACCCTCTCTCTATGCATATTCTTTCAATCTGTACTGTTAGTGATACAATTTTTAAGAATTACAAGTATCATCTTCCCGTGTAGGGATGTAAACAGTTTAGCTTTATTGAATCCTTTATGCTTTCTTTTCCTTTTTTACCTGTTTATGTTTCTCTTGGGTTTTGATATTGGAGGTCAATTTTTTGGTTTAGTTTTGATCTTCTCCTTATGAAGACTTGAAATCCTTCTATGTCATTGGATGACTAGTTCCTTTGCCACCAGAATATCATGTTACATGATCTCTGATACTTTAATGTTGTAGCTGCCAAGTCTTATCTGATCCTGATTGTGACTCCCCAAATATTGAATTGTTTCTTTCTGGCCACTTGTACTGGCCACTTTCCTTGACCTGATACATCTGAAATTTGGCTACAATGTTCCTTGGAGTTTTTATTT